AACAAATTACGTGGTATTTTTGATGTGATATAAAAAATACATGTGCAGATAAAATGTGTATATTATATATATATATATATATATATAGCCCAAGGGCTAAATCTATTAAAATAGAAAAGATACATAAAATATATATATATAGTAATTATAAATAAATATCTTAATATTATACTATCTTCTCATGTATTTTGAAGTGTGTGTGTGTATTCATATAGACATGCATACATACATACATCTACATATATATATATATATATATAGTGTCTTTGTAATACATACATACATACATACATACATACATACATACATACATACATACATCATACATATACATATGTCTGCATACATATTTTCTTAGTTTAAATCCAACAAAGTTCGCGTCTAATGATAAACATTTCGTAAAATTGACCTTGCTGCCGACAGATTAGCGGGCCTGAGTATTTGCATGTTCTTTTAAAGGCTTGGAGGCCCATTAGCAGGTCTATCCAGTAAGTTTGCGAAGCTTAATAGCGATCCAATTATTTAAATTTTGTATAATTCCAGCTATAATTGAGTTTAAATCAAACCCATTGAAATATTATGTTCTAACTTTTTTAGGCAAAAAAAATGATATAATTGAGAAAGTAATTACATTTAAAAAATTTAATCGATAAAAAAACTTCAAATGAATTAATTTAGAATTTTAAATTGAATAAACTATCAAGATTGGTGAAACATTGTTTTATCATAAATCATTTGCAATTCACATAATTTTGAAGGTGTTGATTTCAATTATGTCTGGGAGTCCTGCCAAAGGAATAGAGCACCGAAAGATGAGAGAGAGACAGAGAGAGCAATAACAGCAAAACAAAGAATAACAGTTTGCGTTAACTTTTATTCGTAAAATGGGCCACTTATATATCGAAATAGGTCTTTATATATTTACACACTGTAAACCTAAAGTACGTAAGTACGACTTGGGGGCTAACTTGAGCTTGGTTTTTTTAGCTCATCATGCTAAATTCACGAGCCACAGATTGTCCACCGAGCTCTAGCCAGCTCCCAAATCTACTTGACTCACTTGCACTCCTACCTTCCACAAACTGTTAGAACATTAAATCAGCCGAAAGTAAATGTTAATAAAGATTGCATCATTAACGTTAATAAACTGAAAACATATGTCTCATTAACGTTAAAAAAAACGGTCCAAAACCGTCTTTTATTTAAAAAAAAAAAAGTAAATTTCTCAACTCCTGCCATTAATCTAAAGACGTAAGTTTCTTCATCCCAGCAATCAATGCATCACATCGCTCCACTCCTTATATAAACCTATCTCACGAAGGCTGAAAGGCATCCCCCCCATCTCCGTCCTCCGGAACCCTAAACCTAGCAAAAAAGAACAGACAGGAGAAGAGATGGGAAAGCAGAGCAGCAGCAAGTCCTCCGTTCTCCTCCTCATGGTGGTCGTGGCCATGATCTCCGGCTTTCCGAGAGAAGCGGAGGCCGGAAAGCTGACCATCTCGTGGCCAAAATGGTTCTGGTGCTTCCCGGACTGCGTCATCGGGGAGACGTGCTTCCTGAAAGTCCATCGCTATTGCACGGAAAACATTAAAGAAGTCTCTATATTTAACTGCATCGTCGTCGCCCTCGAATGGTGTGATTTAATGTTCTTTGATATTAATTTATATATCCCACCCACCCCCGCTCCTCCGGCCTTAGATTCCCCCAACGGTAACTTCTCCATTCAAATTTTTTATTTTCTTTTTATTTACATCCTATATTATTTCATCAAATAAATATTATGATGCTTGATATTGCTCAAATAAGAGGTCGTTCTCCATGTTTGACTTGTTAAGAAGCTCGTGTTGAATTTGTTCGCTGAGCAAACGAGCCGAACATGATTATATTTTTTGCACTCGAGCCAAACACGAATAAGTATTTGTTCATTTATGTTCGGCTCGTTTTGGCCTGAAGTCGAGCACAAGCAAAGCAAAGATTTATTCATTCGTGTTCGACTTGTTTTAATCTGAAATAATTAAAATTATATATATATATGATTGACGAGTAGCATTTTTAAATAACTGCAAAGATTTATGATCAATTAAAACTATTATATTAAAAAAAATAGAATAATATTATATTAAATTAAACTTAAATGATATTTTAATATAAATTATAAGATTTAAGCCTGACCTCAACAATTAATATCCTACAATTGCATGGCTAGGGTTTTCAAAATGTTTCTTTATTCACGAACAATACTTGCTCGGCTCGCTAAGCAAACGAGCTGATCACAATTATGCTCAAAATATAAACTAGCAGAACATTAACATTGACAGTTTTTAACGAGCTGAACATGAGCGGAGCCCGGGCTCACTCGTGTTCGGCTCATCGATACCCCTAACAGAAGCTATCTTCAGACAATATCAAATTGCGATTATGTTACTGAAATATATTGAAATTTTTTATCATAAAATTACAGGTGATAATGAGACGGAGAATAACCAGATAGCTGATTTGGAATGAAGAGGAAGAGGCCTGCTTGACTTCGGCGCTGCTTCTGCAAGTGTTATATCAAATAGTCTTCATAGTTAATTTGGTTCCGTTTAGAAGCTGAGGTCATCGGTATCTTCATGTTTGAGTTGCAATGCATCTATGATTTCAAATAAAAATATAAATAAATATTTAATAAATTTTGATTTTGTGTCTTTCTGGTTTTCATGAAACGTGAGACTCCACGAATAAATCATTAAATGTTAAGAAATTATTATTATTTTTTAATCAGTAATATTTTGTGGCTCCCATCTAAGTGTTAAAAATATAATGAGACTCGTACTTCATGTGATCGTTGTTTGATGCGTCTTTTCGACTTGTCGGAGCAGTTTGTCTGACTCATATGTAATATTTAGGCCGTTTCTAAAGCCTCTTGTCCCTTGCTCGCATCGGTCAAAAATGATTTTGTAAGGAATTGTAAACAAAGTCATTATAGGCTTATCTCATATTAGGAGGCTTGATATAACTTCTAAGAGTATATCATTATACTTATAGATAATGCCAATCTTAAGATTGTTAAGTATCCATTCTACCAGTACAAAGTTACCTAGTTGATAAATACTTGTGTAAAGCCTAACATAACTATTTTCCACCTTTACCTAATATTGTAAAGGTAGCATTTTGCAATATGACAAATTATACTCAACTCTACATAAAGATTTCGTTCATATTCAAGATTGTGTATTCAATGATTATAAATAATTAGTTGTAGTAGATATATGGGTATACTGTATAATTTACATGTATAATCAGAGGACGGCGACCCCATCAAAAACTTGTAACTTGCATGATAGGGTCCTAATATTCTAATAACTTGATATCACACTACAATTATTGATATTGGTTTTTAAATAGTCACATTTTAATAAGAGATCATAACTGATGTGACCACGCCATGCAAAAAAAAAAAATGGACAGGCTCCAATTTGAGCCATCGGGGTGCACCAGACTAGGGGTGATGCCCGTGCAAGTCCTATGTGGCTAAAAATAAGGTCAACATCTGCTGCAGGGTAATTTGGGGACGGTGCACCCGTGTCTGTACGGTGCGCCAATGTAAGAGTATGTAGTGAGCTCCACAGGTTTAGGGGGTGCCTGCACCATGTTAGATAACGGGTGACATTTGCATGCCCATGAGTGGTGTAGGAATTATTTTGTAGTGCAGTCTCTTTGCCTCGATTTCTTTAGATTCGCAATTTCAAGCGACGGAGGTACTCTATGCGTGTGTGTTTCTTCAATAAGGTTTTCGTGAAGTGAAAAAGAGCCGAAGAGAAGAATTTCGGTGCGTGTTTCTCTTTTGGGATCTAGAGAAAGGATTTGGAGCGAAGTCCTGTCAACTCCATTATTTGTAGAGAGGAGATCTGAGCGAGTTTTCTATATTTTTCTAAATTTCATAAGTGAAAATTTATTGGTGGTGTGACTTCGTGATATTTTTCTTATTCTTAGGTTTTTTCACAAATGTGTGTCTCATCTGACATATTTGTCAACGTTACATTCTAGGCGAAATTTTTAAAACAATCTCCATTAGCAGTCCTCAGTAGTCAAAACATAAAACTCTTTATGCAACTACCCATTAAGTCTTTTTATGGGGCATTTACATACATACCGCCCAATTCTTACGCATTTACATATTTAACCCCAAAACTCACGTTTTTACCACCCAAATCTGTGAAAAATTATTACCTCCGAATTCTGGACGGAGAGATACGTCCGCAGTCCAATGAATCACTTCCAGGTGGAGCTAACAGAAAAAAAAAAATTCATTTTTTTTTTATCCGGCCCGGTGACAAGAGGAATATTCCTCCTGTATTATTCCATATTGTTCAGGTGTTATTGTGGTGGTATTCATGTGTTATTGTGTTATTATAACACCGAGAATATTTTCATTACACAATAATACATGAATACTACCATAATAACTCATGAATAACGCATAATAACACGGGGAAATATTCCCTTTATGATAAAACAAATTTTGATGTGGCGTGATTTTATTGAACTGAATGGTAGGCATGTAAATCATTCTTTTCATTTTATTTTAGGAAAAATTATATACACACAACATTATTTTTATGGATTTATGTCTAAAGCTTCATTTCGACACCTCTAACATTTTATTTATGAATGAAAATTTTAATTTAATTATTAAAAGATCATAATAATACTATTTATATTTTATCATATTTTAAGGACTAATTCGTAAATACTAAAAAGTGGTGTTTTTGTAAATACTTAAATAGTAAATACTTTACCATTTAACGAATTCCTTAAAGGTCGTGTTTTAAAATTTTGATCCGTAAGCAAAAATTAGCGTTTGGATGTTCTCTGCGGCAAAAACGACTCCACAGTCAAATAACACGTGCGCCGTTGACGGTTATTCTGCTTTTGACCAGCCGTCCCACGTGCCACAACCCTACCGGCGTCCCTAAAGCCAGCATCCCAAGTCAACAAAACCCACTCCTTCCCCTTCCAGCTCCACCCCATCTCCTCTTTCCTCTCAAACCCAAAATGCAAGCTCGCCGCTTTCTTCTCCATCAACAGCCGGCGCGAGCTTCACCGGCCGGAAACCACCGCCCCTCCGCTCCTTCGTTCGAGGCTCAGCTTCACGCCGTCAGTAGACCTCCATCGAAACCATTGAAGAAGCTCGAAACACAACGGCCGCCCAGATTCTACCGCATCGATCCAATGGGATTCCGACACCTCGTGCAAGCGCTTACCGGAAAACCAAAATCGCCGGCTTTAGCGGAGTTGAGATGGTCGCCGGCGTCGGCTACCTCGCCTGAAATTTTGCAGCAAGAATGGAAAGTGCCGGATTTGGAGTGTTGGAATTGTGCAGAAGAGTTCTAAAGCTCTAATTTTTATGTCGTTGATTTTGTGGGAAATTTGTGTGCTTTATGGGAAGTAATATTTTCTCTAATTTTTTTTTTAGTTCTAAAGCTTTAATTTTTTTTTATATACCGATTATGTTCTTTTTAATTTTTTTTTATTTCAGTGTTCAAATTGAGTGTAAAACGATAATTAATATTTAATGATAATTATTACTAATTTTAGAAATTTTAATTTTATAATAAAATTACAAGACAAGAAAAAAAGATAAAATAAAATTGTTAAGACTTAAAATATTTTATTTTTGCAATCGATCTTGGCATGAAACCAAATTCATTCTCTAGTATTTGCATAATTTTGCTCCATTACTATCAATTAATATTGTCTCTACTTTTAAATAAGATCTTATTACCTTCACTTTTAATTTAACTTGTTAAGGTCTCTATAATTTTTTTGCTCACACTTAAGGAGCAAGAGGCTTAAGTAAGAGTATATAACTAATAAAAATGACGATGAAAGAGTAAGAAGCAATAAAGGCACCGTCCGATAAATAGTACATATGAGAGAAAATAATAAAAGTACATAATAAGTGAAATATATATACCATGTTAACGCCTAAGAAGTTGTTGATGTGGTATCGCTCTATTGTCCAATGTATAGTAATTTGATCGTTGTCAAGGTCGCTATCATAGGTGGTGATGTTGATGGTCATGTAACTATTATGGGTCATCCTCCTGCCCAATTGTGGATGATAGAAACAGAAGATATGATGTAAACTGTCCATGATCATATAAGGTATCGTAGGATGAGACATCAAGAACTGCTGTTGTGAAGGGGTGCTACTAGTGTTTCCCATAAAGGACCTGCTTCGATATATACTATTAAAGTGTACTCATATGAAGACTATGTGAACGTAGAACTTGAAGGCTTTGGATCATCATAGGTAAACAATGGAGCACATGTGTCCTCCTCATCATTTTCACCTCTCTGTGTCATGTTAGATATGTAGGTGAATTACCTTATGCGGTTACAAACATTCTTCACATTATTTATTTCCTTTTGTTTGGGGCTCCCATCATTGGAGCCCTAAAAAAGCAATAAAAAACCCTCTATCTTCGTGACATAATGAGGTTGCAAATAAAATCATTATATAAACATTTAAAATTAGAGTAAGAAAAAAAATAATTTATTAGAGACTTGGTGCACAATCGTGCTCATTGTATAGGTGCCCTCTATCTCCACAACATAATCAAGTTGCAAATAAAATTATTATATAAACATTTAAAATTGTAGGTAAACTTTAATTTATTAGAGTTTGTAGATAACCGTGCTCATTGTATAGGTGGTCTCAGGTAATATGTGTTTAGAGATTCTTGTGAAGCTCTAAGTAGTTGTTGTGTAGCCCTTGTCATGAACCACCTCATGTATATAGCAACAACTCAATCCCGAACTATGCATCTAGAATTTTATGCAACAACATATGCCTCAATATCGTTCCATATGTCAATGTGTCATCGGTGATCGTCGGCCCAATCTACGCTGCTCTTCCCCCTCTGTCAACATTCTTAAAATCAATCTCCATAGTCAAAATATCCACTCTGGATAGCCATTTGAACTGTTGCATCACTCTCTGTGGTAAGTGTCACTCCGGTTGTCAGCAAATCAATGCATCATAGGCTCCCAAACAGCTGATCAAGAAATGCATAAAACTGCAACTCGTTGTAGAATATTTTCTCGATTTGTCAGTCATGTCACTTATAGTTAGCAAAAATAATTAGATTGTCACTAGAAATAAATTATGTAACATCAAATGATGCGATAAAATTCCAATACCAATGTAAGCAAGAGTCCATCAAACTTATCACGGTACATCTGAACATGACACCGTCGTGCTCATATATGTACTGCTCATTCCACATAAAAAAAATTGAAATATTAATTTATTTTAATACATAATAATACTATTATTAAATACAAATTTAAAAATAAAAAATTAACTTGCATCAAACAATCCTTCCATCAATCTCTGAAGGGTAAAGAACTTGTAGTGTGGGTTTGCTAACTTGAAATCTCTTTTGAGAAAATAACTACAACAAATGCAAATAGCCAAGCATTTTCACCCCACGGGGTGTTGAGAAATTATGGCAAAGAAATGCAATAATCAAGAACCGAACAATCAAGATCAAACTCAAGGATTTAACGCGGTTCGACAAAATGCCTATGTCCTCCGGAGTGAATAGCTGTTGCGGCTCTTTTCTATTTCACAAAAAACAGTATATACCACTTAGGGTTACAAATACTATATATATATATATATATATATATATAACCCGAGTGTACAATATGTAATTACGGAGCGGAGCAAACGAGAGGAGTGAAGCGGAAGCATTTGTCTCTTATCTGGTATATGAGCCATTCCTAACGCGGGCTTTGTAGCACGGTGAGCTCTTTGTACAAATTTCTCAGTGTTATTGTTCCAATAAAGTACTGGGAGAAAAGTGAAAGATCTTCTATAACTTGTAAGCACTGCAAGTAAATATGGGATCCATAAGTATCAATAATAAGAAAACAAACTACTATGAAGAGTATATAAGCCTATATATGCCTTTGAATAATAATAACATCCAAATCCTCATATGTCTCTTTCTAGACTATCCACCTCAACCATCGCAAGGGCACACAAATATGCAATCCAACATAACCCATCTAGAATCTAGCAGCAACTGTTTGAGCAACTGGCTGATGGTAGAGTATATGTTTGTATCTGAGTGACTTCCTAGTAGATCATTACAGTAGTTAGACCACCTAACTCACCTCTCGCCCTAAACAACAAGTCTCAACCCTATCAACACTCGCTCGTCAACTTTGATGCCCAACATCAAAGTTACATCTTGCAGAGTAATTGTCATCTCCTCAATGAGTAAATGTAATGTGTTAGTATGCATGCACCATCACTCTGCATGTGATGTGAGCAATTAAGGATTCAACTTGATAAACCAAACATATCTGATGAAGTTTAGTCCAACATCCGCAAAAAAAAAACAGAGACATGACACTTCTCACTCCTTCGCCATGTATAGATGCGCAGTCGACTTAAATATGGTACCTTATAATAAAATTAATAAAATAAAATCTCTATCTCATAATGTTAATTAAGGGAGTCTCTTAGAATTTATTTGGCGCTACCTCACATGGATGCCTTGCTCTATGTATCCCATGATATAAGATTCATTATATTTGTCTTGTCATTATGCTCGGTTCAAATATAAGCTTGTCAGATTTGAAGTTAATTTTACCTTCCAATTGGGTACTAAAAATTTCCAAAAATGACTTAACAACTTGATATAGGCTTAACTTGACTCAGATTGAACCAAGTTTGGTATCATTATGTTTGTCTCGTTGAGCTGATCAATTTAATTGTATGTTTACTGAAATCCTAATTATAGATAATTTTTAATTGAAGTTTGATTATTTTTAACGTACAGTTTTATCTTTGATATTCGTTTTGAGCAATGAAATTTTTTTTATCAATAATATATAGCTAAGAATTCATTTTTTTTTTTTGTATGCTATGATTGAAATGTTTGAAATTATATAAAATAAAAAAAGTCTTAATATTTATGAGCAAAAAATTAAATTTTGATACTTCATTGATAATTTTTTTTAAAAAATTGAATATCTTAATTTCATAATTATTAAGTTTTTAAATATTACCTATACCTTCAATTTTATATTCCATTAATTTCAAATTTACTCAAATCAAATCCAGATCAATAATTTCTCAATAATTAAAACCAAGATTCCAATCCAATGCGGGGGGCATAGGATAAGTGGCCTTCTCCTACACCACTAACTGTCCGCCACGTGCCCACTCGTCCACCTCCATCACCTTCTTCAACCACTAAACTGATCGTGCCCACTGAGCGAGCGAGCGAGAGAGAGATGAGCGCGACGGAGAACATCGCCGGAGATCTACACTCTCCGTCTCCATTTAAGAAGTCATCAAAACCTCCACCACCACCTCCGGCGGTCGGGAGAAAGAAGGCGGCGGCGATGGGCGTTCGGGCATGGCTGGCCGTCAATTCCGCCGGAGAAGCGCGAATGGTGGAGGCCGGAAAGCAGGCGATCATGAAGCGCACGGGGATTCCGGCGAGGGATCTCCGCATATTGGATCCACTGCTCTCGTATCCTTCCACCGTGCTCAGCCGTGAGCGAGCCGTCGTCATCAATCTCGAGCACATCAAAGCCGTCATCACGGCCCACGAAGTCCTCCTTCTCAATTGCAGAGATCCGATTGTTTCGCCGTTTGTTCATCAGTTGCAGCGCCGTCTCAATCTCCGGCGGGGCCACCAGGTTGCATTTACATTTTACATTTTAGTCCTATATTTTTGTAAAAGTGTCAAACTACTTTTCAAATTTATGAATTTGGGGTTCTTATTTAAACTTTTATAAACTCGGGGGCTAAAATGATTATATATAAATAGTTGAGGTCTATTTTAACACATTACTTGTTTCTTTACATTTTTATAACTTTTGGGAAAAATTAAAAATTTATTTTTTTTTTCATTTCATTTATATCTGTTTAGATTAATTTAAGGATTTTTGGTTAATTGATTGGAAAATAAATAGATAGAATAATTATTTAAATTGTTTTGCGAAAGCAATGCAGAAGTGTAGGAATTCACACAACAAAAAACAAACACGGAAGATTTACGTGTTTCGGCATTGAAGACCGAATGAGCAGAAAAAAAGATGACTTGGAATTACAACTCAACACTTCTCAACACAATACACCTCTTATGAGCTCTAAGTCTTTTTATAGAGGAGATTTAGAACATATAAAGAAAGAAAAAAAAAAGAAACAAATCAAATAAAATAAACTCATTAATAAAAACCATAAATGCAACATTTTCACCTCATCTCTTACTTCCAGATAATTGAGGGATAATCACCTGTGCTCTAACTCCAAATCAGCTGCACCATGATGGTTGCCTACATACCTCCCTCTCATAGAGATCAAGTCTCGTGTAATTCTTCTAAATGCGCTATTCGACAATCAGTCCTGAGTTCGGATATTCACCAAACTCTTGCAATAGATGAACTTCTTGATTGATAGTATCTTCGTAAGCATGTCTGTTGTATTTTCCTTCGTATCTATCTTCTTCAACAAGATCTTGTATTCTTTAATCATGTCCCGAACAAAGTGGTATTTTACATCAATTTGCTTGATTCAAGCATGTTGAACTGGATATGTAGTCAAGATTATTGCACTATGACTTTCACAAAATACTGTCAGAGACTCCTTATCAATTCCCAAGTCATCTAATAGGCTCTGAATCCATATTACTTCCTTCATTGCTACAGTGATTATCATGTACTCAGCCCCCGTAATCGACAAAGTAACAGTAGAATGAAAAAAATGACCTCCAACTAATTGGATCTCTTGCCAATATGAATAATTAGAAGATATTATTATTGAAACTACATTAAATTATTTTGATTTACTATTTTTCTTCGAAAAATTATTAGTTTCTTTCTATTTTTGGTAAGTGATCAGTGAGAAAAAATGTCATAATCAAAGCTCACTAATCACAATAATAATAATAATAAATACGTATAATGAATTATTATTATATTCCTATAAGTGATAATTAAAACTATTGAGGGAGTTGCCAAATTAGGTGGGAACAAGGTGTAAACCATTCAAGTCGAGCCCGAGCCCCACTATTTAAATTTTAGCTTGATTAATTTTATCGAGTCTAGATTTGAGCTCGAGCTTAAGTCCTTAATTTCAATCCGACTCACAATCCAACTTTTTTTATTATAAAAGAGATAAAATAATGTTAATTTAAAGTATTATTATAATAAATTGATAAATAAAATGAGTAATTATGAGAGAAATAATAATAAATTATGTAATATAAATTACAAAATATTTTATTTTAAAAAATTTTAATACTGTAAAGATAAATATTTCAAATTTAATATATTTTAAATATATTTTATATTAATATCAAATTTAAAATATTATTATTTTAACTTAAAAAAATAATAAAATATACCTTTTCATTGACAAGGTAACATGAAATAAATATAAAAATAGAAATTTAGATGTTAGATATGTGACAAATACATAAGAATGGAGTGGTATTTATGTAAATCTTCCTAAATGTCAACGTTCTGTTTTCTATGCCCTAGAAGATGGAAGATGATGAAGATGAGATTGGCGATGGGAGCCATTCATATGACCTAGAAGAGATCGCGTCGAGTAGGAGTTATCCAGAGAAATACGGCAATGTGGATTGCTCTGAAGAAGACGAGCGCCCGACAGAATTAGACGAGAAAGGAAAAGCGGAAGAGGCAACAGATCTAGCAATCTCCGACGGCCCTAAAGCTATTCCGTTCGAGTTCATCGCATTAGAAGCATGTCTTGAAGCCGCTTGCAGCTGCTTAGAAATTGAGGTGAGAATCAATCTGTTTGAGTGCTTTCTTCATTGCCCTTTGCAGGTTTGTTGCATTCTGGGTGTAAACTTCCCTACATGCACTTGATTTGATGAGAAATTGTCGATTTCCGAATATATCTACAAATTTCCCTCTAACTGTTGCCACCCGCAGATGATTTCCATCTACGATCGCCACTGCAAATTGCTGTTGTTGAGCTTCACACTTTTTTCATTATATTTCAAATCAAACACTGTAAAATAAGTTTTCTCATTAATTCTATTCTAAGTGAAATCTTTCTAAATATTGTAAATACCCTGTTTTCTTACATTCTATTCTTCGTGCTCTACAACTTTTTTCAGCAAACCAAATTGCCCCTTAGTATAGAAATTTAACATTTGGGCTAAACGCTTAGAAGGAACATAATCACGAACAGAATTGATGATTGAAGCATCAATGGCAAGAAAGATTGGGGCAATCACATAGAGACCCCCTGAAACATTAGTATTGACGCTTTCATCCATTTTTCAAATTCTCACTCAAACATCAAAATTCATGGTAAACCCCAACCCATATTTATATTTTTTTCAAATTCTCAATAGTTTGATCATGGCACAGGTAAATACATCGGTTCAGTAGTTCAAAAAAATCACATCGGTGGTTTATTTGTAAATATCAATGTTTTATGTGGTTTGTATATAATTATCTCAAAAAATTTCGAGGAGCAAACCGCGGAGCCTTTTTTCTTTGAAATGCAGGAGGTAGGCAGGCATTTAAGTTTGTGGAAATGGTTATGTTCCTCCTTTGAAATTTTTCTATGTTGATACTTAACGTTAGATTTATGTGTAGCTATAGGTCTATTCAATCAAAATACTCTCATAATTGAAGAATCTACTCTTTTCATAAGAAGTCTCGAGAAAAACTTTTGATATGATCCAATGCTTGGGAAGCGATATAACCTTTAGCACGGTGTCTGTAAAAATTCTATTCATATAAGATAAAATTAATGAAAACTTTATGAATAATCAACAAATTTGATCTAAAAATTCTTAGTCATTCAACCATGAAACTGAATTCCAATAAGTGCCAGACACTGTTTGATATAGGCAAGAGATGGGCGGACATGTGAAGTCACACCTCATTGAGATAAGGAAAGTTCAAATTTTATGTCTGTTGAAGTAATTCCTACTCCAATGCAACCTATGCTCCAACCATCTGTGATCATACACATGTAGTGCCCTAACCTCTCCACCTGTTCTTCCATGATGTTGAAACACATAAATTCATACCTCTCATTGATGTTGTAGATAGAATAATGTGCATCTTCTGCCCTAGCCATGTTTACTTTTTTTTTTTATCTACAATGAGACACAATAATCATGCACATTCCATAGCTAGTTTCTACCTTTTCTTCCAAAATGTCAAAATACAAGTTAGCAAATCTTATTAATGCCAATCATGCACATCATACATCCTAACGGGGTGAACAATTGTATTTATGCATATTAATCTTCATCTTTTATTTAGGAAGAGCCCGTAATATAGTTTAGGAGAGATTGAGTTGTGGTACCTTAGATGGAGCATATTAACTTTAATGGATGACATTTGAATACTTAAGAAATTGATGAGCTATTTTTAAAGTTTATATTTTTGTTCTAGATGAAAGTCCATTTATCATTAAAAATTGCATAAGTGCTAATGCAAATGATGACCTTAGCATTAGCTGTGTTAACTCCCACTAAAAATGCTCATAGAGTCATATTTTGTTTGATTATATCAAAAGGGCATTGGTGCTTTTTTTTTAGGGTTTTATGGCATATTATGAACAATGTTGATATCGACAAAGAAGTGACGATTGAAAGGGTTTAAGAAGGCTTATGCTAAGCCTATTCATATGGTAGTATATTTCATTTTGATATTCCTCAAGTAGAAAATAGTCAAATTGCTAGAAGTTTTATATTTTATTTTGATAATTTATAAATATAATATTGTTTCCATGTTTGTAATGTCCTAATTTTTATAGTCATGTTGTGTTGCATCATTTCATGATATTATCCCCATATACACGTCCATGGTTTACAATTTTATATTTATTTGATCCCATCATGAAGCCTAATAGAGTACTGACTTGTAGAGAAAGATTAGATATGAAGGATCAATTTAATCTAAGCGTGAACAACTAAATTGAAAATTTTTCAACCAAAACATAGGAAAATAGAGTTGCCAGATTAGAAATATCTGCCTAGAAAAAAATAAATGCAAAATTTTCATGAAAGATAGTGATTGCATATAATTTGTGGATTAAGTGAGTCTTTACATCCTCATTTGTAAAAAGTACTGGAAGCATTCATATCCAAGTTTGTCTGCTCAATATTTTTATTCTATGTATTTACAAATTTCTAATGTATGTTCTTAGTTTTGATAGAATTATTGCATCTTTGCTACTAATTGATTTTACCTTTTGGTTCTAAGGCAAAAACTTTAGAGAATGAAGCTTATCCAGCTCTGGATAAACTAACCTCAAAAATCAGTACTCTCAATTTGGAACATGTTCGTCAAATCAAAAGCCGTTTGGTGGCACTTACAGGACGTGTTCAAAAGGTTTATTCCCTTTTCCTAGTTCAATTATTTACCTCAACTTTATTTTGTTTTAAACGCCATCCTTGTTATTGAGTGAAATACATATGCTACAATGAATCTTATGGATATAATGCAACTAATACAATCCTTTAATTTGGTTTATTTTGTAGATGCTGTTGAAAGAGCCCATAACAAAATTGTTTATTTGGAAGATTTACATACATACCACTCATGTCCTATGTATTTACATATTTATCGCCTAAACTTTAATTTTTATATAAATACAACCATACTTCACGCATCAAATGGTGTATTCACTTTTTAAAAGTTTAAAATGGTGGTATTTCTGTTGTAACATGAAAGATTTGGTTGCTATAAATGTAAAAAGTAAAGTTTAGGTGTTAGATATGTAACTACATGGGACGTAGTTGGTAATTATGTAAAATAGTTTTTTTACTTGCTAGTTAATATTATTATTTTCATTTTCTAGTTGCTTTGCTGAGCTTATTCTTAGTTTTGTTGAACAAATTTTATTTTTGTGTTTCTGTATGTGGATCATTCTGGCTATTCTTTGGTGGTCATCTTGAGTTACTGAAACAAATAAGGTCCAAAAACTCAAGTTGTTGTCTTTTTTGCTTGAATTAATACTTCCAACCAGTTTTAGTAATTTCAACTTCAGCATGCCTTTAGATTGCATATCTTTGTTTAATGTTGAGGACAGAAACTTTATAACTTAGAAAAAAAAAAGAAAGAAATAAAACATGGTTCAACCTTGCGTATGCACTTTCTCTGCTTTTTTCTATATAAATTGTTCAGGTTCAACAGTTGAATTATGATCGTTACAAGTCAGCAGACAACAGTAAGGATGATAGAGCTGAAAATCCAGTGGAATCAAATCAATTTCATTAATACTCTTTGAATGATATAATAGTAATTATAGATGGTTTTCAACCAATAATATATCAAGAATAGCTCTCATGTTTCCACTAAAAGCCCAAATTTGGTATATGTTTGAATGTGTCACTCTAAACTCTGTAAGTTTGCTCAAGCTCATCTTATCTCATTTCTTAAACTTCTAATCTTCTGAATTAAACACTGCAGTTCCATCCCTCTGTCCCTCCCTTCTTTAACTAGCTTTTCAATTGATTTGAGTAGCAAACATTTCTTTTGTTGTAGGTCAGGGACGAGCTTGAACACTTACTGGATGATGATGAGGATATGTCTGAAATGTATTTGACAAACAAGCTTTTGCAGCAACAACAAACCAATGGGTCTCCTCTATCTTCTCAATCGGACCGAGCTTGCAGCTTCAATGGGGAAAGGTATAATGAATTGAATTGTAAGTCTTTTTTGATAATGGAATAAATCAATTTTGCTTGTGGATGACATAGCGATGATGATTAAAGGTTTGTTCAACATGAGTGTCGTTTTCTAATGAGGAAGGCAAAATATTATAAAGATGAAATGTCGTTGAAATTGAAAATGAAGTTCCACAAATCAATCATGACAGAGAGAGAATGCACACATAGAAATCAACATTTATGTGATTTGGCTTTTAACAAGCCTATATTTATGGGAGAAGAGATGATCAAAGAAGATACAATTGTGGTACCTTTCTTCATCTCGTATGCCTCGTTGAAGCCACCAATCCTTTAGAACCCAAAAAATAGAGAAGGCATGTGAGGAATGAGAGTGATCTTCAGATAGATTATAAAAGATCATTAGGCCGAACACCTCCATCTGTGTTAAGCGAGGTTATAGAGATGTAAATCCCAAGAGGTATTTGCCTTGGCATCAATCCTAAAATGGGATTAAACATGTGCTCTCAATAAAATATTCATAGGCTTGGATCTAAGAAAATGTGATCTTTTCATGAAGAAAGAGTAATTATGCAAATTTATAATTGATTGTTAATGCAGAGAAAGGTTTGTGCTATGTTTGATATTATATTAGCTAAAAACGTATTTATTTTTGGAGAAATATCAAGCAGTTGAATCTTGTTCATAGGCTCAATATTTTGCATGAAAAATGACTTACCATTAAAGTTGATGGTTTTGTTGATATTGAGTGGTTCATATGATTTGTGGCTTAAATGGGGTTGTAGCAACATTGAACAATCCCATGATGATTCCATTAGGTGGATTGAACACTTGATTCATAGGGATAAAATTTTTCATTTGAAAGGGAATGATAGTTGATTATGTAATCTCTCTCAAGAGGGGAGCGTTGTTTAGGCATATGGAGCATTTAGTTGATGGTCTTGTTCATAGGCTCAATATTTTGCATGAAAAATGACTTACCATTAAAGTTGATGGTTTTGTTGATATTGAGTGGTTCATATGATTTGTGGCTTAAATGGGGTTGTAGCAACATTGAACAATCCCATGATGATTCCATTAGGTGGATTGAACACTTGATTCATAGGGATAAAATTTTTCATTTGTAAGGGAATGATAGTTGATTATGTAATCTCTCTCAAGAGGGGAGCGTTGTTTAGGCATATGGAGCATTTAGTCTTATATTGCATGGTTTAAAAATATGATATAAAAATATCCATTGGTTTTATTTCATATTTCATAGTTTACCTTATATTTTGTTAAAACTTCCATGCGGCAGGCACTCAACGCTATTTTTGTGATCTTTAGGATTC